AACGTGTTTCTGTGTCGTTATAAACACCCTTAAATGTGGCTTTTCTGTCTAAATTTATTCACGCATCGGCACGTCTTTGTTTAAAAAATAAACACCACAGCGTGTTTAGCCGTGGATTATTAACACCACTACGCGTTCGTTTAAAATTTAAAGTTAACACTTGTTTTTACAGTGTAGCCCACCTACGCTTCATATAACCCTTTAAAGAATTAAATGTGCTCCAGGATGAGTGCAACAGAAACAGCGCCTACTTACTTTGAACACCGGCATAATGAGTTCTAGGCCTCCGAAATGCTCGGCTTTTTAAAGATTAGATTCTACATCCTCTCTTTCGATAGTTACGGCTTGTGGGGACACTGTTTGGGTCGTGCGCAGGTACCGGTGAACTTCTCTGCCAAACACATTCACCAAATGAAAATTAGGACTGGCGGAATACGTATATTAAAGACGCAATCGTGCTTTTTCTTCGGCAACGGAGATGAGCGTAATGGCTTTGAAATGGACTCGTTATTCCTGTTTATTGTTTATTATTTTTTAATCATTCCTTACTTGTTAAGACCATACCACGCCTCCTCTGGTGTCTCGATACCCTATGCAGTCTTAACGCCGCCTCTCCTCTGAGTTGCCCCAGGAAGCGACTGTCGATAGATTTCCGTATGCCACTACACTTCGAGGCATATCACTGCATAATTCAGGCAATTTTTTTTTTCTGCGTAATGTGATTGTGGCTTGACAGCCCTCAATTCAGGGATCTAGTTATGACGATCAAGGAAAATAATATCCATATGAAAGTTTTAGTGTGTTATCATATTTGCCGTGTGCAGTCATCTTTTGACGATGTCTTTGGACAATTTTTGTCATAATAATTTAGAAACCTTAGCATTCATTTTGTTTCTTCAGTTGGTATTTTGGCTACATAACGCCTTTAGAAAATAGATTGTGCCAAAAGGGTTTCAGAACTTCTTTCTTGTTTTTGTTTTTGTCTCGCTTTATTTTTTTGTTTTTTGTTTCAAGACAATTTTCTTATTATGTTAAAACTTAAATAGTAGCCCATTTTCCAAGAAAGAAACAAGCATGTCTAAAAACATCAAAAACTGTACTCCCTAGACTGCAAACTCTTATTTAAAATTGAATTTTAATTGATGATTCATGGAAATTTAGTTTGGGTGTGAGTTATTAAATTCCTTATTGCCCTCCATCGCGTATTGCTGTGACTTCCTGTAATTGTCAGGGATTTCATGCTCACAATGTTTTCTAATTTCGTGCTCCAGTGATCATTTTGATGAGAAAATGTGAGGTGTTGGAAGCTGCATCTGCATTTGAAAAAAAATCGATTCCTATGCGTCAAAATCTCTAAGGGACATGATGGAACATGTATAATTCATCAAAGAGGTTTTTTATCCTCGAAGACTCTCCAAGCAGGTGTAATATATTCTGGCCACGAAACAGAACAAAAGACGTTGTAATGTTTTTACCAGATGCATATATGTAACATACGTATAACTCCACAACATAGTGGGTGGAATAAGCTATAAACCAAAACGAGGTTTCCATTGCGCTAAAAAATTAATGTGCGGTGTCAGTTGAGGGCGCTACACTACCTTTTCAAGGAATCTTCGAGAACGTGACAAACGAAAACAATGTTAATATTTGCCATCATTTCATTTTCAACATGGACCTGTTTCGTAGACTGACATAAATGATCCCCCTTCAATGCCGACCCTGTAGGCGAAAGTGAGCAGTGTGCAATGAACAAGACTCATGCTCCATCTCCATGGTTACGCATCTCGAGAGCTAATGCATCTCCCATGGCGACCAGAATAGCAAAACAGAATACCGAGATGTGAGTAAGCCTCATTCACTGGCAGAAAAAGAGGTCGAAGTAACTGTGTTAGACACTGATGGTTAATGCGCTGGCGAACCACATTGTCATATCTGGGTCGTTCTATAAATTTGGGGTCCGACGCGTGACATTTTTCCGTCCCTGTTACAGGTTAGGCCTATATGCAGCTGACATGTATCACTGAAATTGATTTCAAGCTGTTTTCATTTGTTTGGCAGGTAATTTGCAGTACTTACTCATCTTGGAAATTACAGAATGAATTCTAAACATTGAAACATCACACGCCAAATTAACAGGGACGGCGGCAAAATGGACCCCAAATTTATAGAATGACCCATCCGTGTGAAGTCTTTTGTGTCATAATCAGAACTCCGAGGTCATCGTATGCAAACTCTACTTGGTATGACATGGAAATATGTGTTGTATAGTAATCATGTTTGTGAGGAATGGGTCCATTGTTCAATCAACGTGCACGTGTACTGTTGGTGACTTAAGCTCTACGACGTTTTATTGTACTTATTAAAGTGCACATTAATAATTCCACAAGCGCTGTTCGCATCAGTGTGTGGGTTTTTCAACATCCTTCACAGGTCGATTCTTGGTGGCTCTTGGCGTTGCTTCGATTAACAAAAATAATAAAGACGGCGACGCCACATTGAAGAGTAGAGCTTTGTTTGAGAGCACTCAGTCTGATACCATTTTGTAATCAATTGAGTCGATTGGGGGGGGGCTCATGGTTTCATGGTTTGTTCTTCGACAAGTAAAGAGTCGACATGTCGTTCCAATACCTACAGCTGGTTGCAATTTTCAAACACAAATTGTCAAAACAGGCATCCCAACTGAACAGGCTTAGCTATACCGAGATGGCAAATGCGATATCTGCTGTGAAGTGTCGAGCTCGCGCGAGGTCGCACTCTGCGCAGGAATAGCCCACTTCACTTTGGTGCACAGTGCTCGTAATTGACTGTTGCTATGGCACCGCAGCCAGCACCAAACGAGTGGTTCTTCTCATGGTATAACGCGGGCAGGGAGAGGGGGAAGATGCGACCGCGTGACCAGAGCAAGTACACATCCTTGACAAATGATCGTCTACCTCGTGTCATCATCACGAGGTGTGAAGAGAGGGCTGGTACTTGGCACATCATAATGTGGGATGTAAAGAGAATCGTATGGTAGTCGTGTTACACTGCAGGTTTCGACAGGTTGGAGTGCTGAACTGCACTCAGCCTCATGAGGCCGCATGAGAACCCCTCCCCCAACCCACAAAAAAACCCCACACATACGCGTCACTTGCCTGTACCACTCAAGTGACACGTTGGTTGATTTTGATACACCTAGATTCAGGCATGAAATCGAGGACATAATAGCTCGCATAATAGTCTATTTTGGGCCGATCAACAAAATGTGGAAGTGGTGAAAACCAGTCATCAAATCTGAAAAAAGGAAGTTAAACTTGAAATACATGTATTTCAAAATGAAAGGAACATCAGTATTTCAATTGCCGTAGTGGGACACGAATAAGCATTACTCGCATAATTATTTTAGTATTACTAGCGAGCAACGCTGGGCACTGTTAGATTTACATTATTTTCCACTTGTTGTCATCTTAAGTATGAATGTAATCAATTTGTTTGTTATTTTATGAAAAAACTAGGAAAAACAGGGACTTTGCAAACGAAAGTATGCATTATAATACGAATAATAACATTGTTACTGCATACGTGTATCAAGCACAATTTTTTGTCAGCAGATTTTAATAGACGTATTTATAATCGTGTTTTTTCCAGCGTTATATGGGGTTCCTTTAATTTGAAACTGCAAGCTGCAGGTAGTTATCCACGGTTTATTCCGCGATGGTATCGTTCAACTGATACCCGTGACTGTAGTGACCAGATGTCAACAGTCACACGCCAGCGAGTTTGAGTTATGATTGCTTCGCTTCGCCTCCGCAGCTAGTTATGCCGCGCTTGCCGACATCTCTCCTCCATGATGCAGTGGAAATTGAGGAGAGTGAGGACGAAAAGTCCGACAGTTCGCAGGGGTTGGGCAAATCAGGATGGAGCGCCGCACGCGCATGCGCAGACCAATCAAGGCCAGACTGCGGGTTTTTTTTTCTGTCTTTTTTTTTTCGTTTCAGTGATACAATGTGCTCGTTTCTCATGATCCCAGGGATCTGTTCAGATTGGTGTTATGTTCATGTCCTAGTCACCATAGCTGGAAGAGCAACGGGCACTGGCCGAGCGGCAATGAGTGTATTAAACTCCGCTCGGTTTGTACCCGCGCGGCGGGCACGCTGTCTGGAACGGTTGGAAATGGTGGTACAATGGCATCACCTTTCTATTCGCTATTGACTTGAGAACTAACTGTGGAATAAGTACACCTCTCGGCCTTATCTGGATCAGGCTGTGTAAACAGTGCTGTGAAGACTCTAGAAATTAGACTAAACGAGATTTGGATCGAGACAGATGTCCCAAAAGGTAACTTCACATCAGATACTAATACAGGCTTTCCCCCTTGCACTCAGTGTCGTCGTAGTTGATATTACAACAATCGAGGAAAAGTGACCAACGTGTGGCAACGATTGCGTACGGTTGAGCATTCGAATTTGAATGTTCCGAAGACTGGTAAAAGAAATTTGGATTTACCCTGCGTCTACCATCACTTGATAGGAGTGACAATAGTGAGGGTGTACGACTGGGAGCTAGCAGAGCAACCGTCGAGATATCATTCTCATTAGGAGAGGTTTATATCGCGATGTCTAAACTCCACATGATTTGAATTCCAGATTGTTCACCGAAGAGCCTCTGAACTTAACCTTGAATGGAACCTAACCAATGGGCGACAGTTCTTTGTGGAATTTAAACCGGCAAGTTGTTGTCGCGCATACTTTGAGCGGACCCATCCTTGCATTGCTGTGGTTTCTGTGCGTAAATTTGTTGCCGGCCATCCTCGTTCTCAGGAGGCAGAATGTGTCTCTGATGCCTTGTCGATGATCTGAGCAATCGAGGGATTTGATCTTAAGCTACGGCCGCTGTAGAGTCCCACCAGGCTTAATAGCCTTATGGGGCGAGATCTCGATTTCCAATCCAAACCATCACCAACAGAATAGTTCTTTATCTCACCAAAGTGTCCGTATGCTTGTTCTCCAATTTACCAGGTATCCCACCCAACCATGGAGATGGATATTGGTCCAGGGAGGTTCGACTCCATGGAGAAACTGTTCCTGGCTGCCGCGGAAAATGGGGACAAGAAGGCTATCATGTACGCGTTGGAGAAGGCGCCGGATCTGAATATCAACTGCTCGGATAAAGACGGCCGGAGCGCACTGGTTATAGCCATTCAGAATGGTAACTCAGGTAAGTAAGATTTTTAAAAATCCACAAAAACGATCACTTCTGTGAAGTGTGCTGATGTGTGAATGTAAGGAACGTGAAAAAAGCAAGGGAAATGCTGCCTGAAACCCAGCCACGGTGCTTCATTTTAATTTTTTTTTCATTCGTTCCATATCTGTATGACTTTTTGTTTAATTTATAAAGCTGGATTGGCGCATTTTGTTTACTGCACACGATTTTCTCTTAAATTGACGGCCAGCATTTTACATTACAGCGAATCTTGGGACGTTACACAAAGGAATGTATATTAAGACACATTTAATGCAAAGTTAGTGGAAAGAGTACCCAGTATTTGATATTTATTACCTTAAATGATGACTCTTTATAATTAATATTTCTGATCCTTCCCGGTCAATTTTTTAAATTTCACGTAATAAACGTTTTTGTATACAATGACATCAACACCGCTTATACTTTTGGGCTGCCTGCGGGTTTTCTGAAAACTACTTACGTGATCTTCTGTCGCTCGAATGATGGTCAGAGCCGTCGGCAGAAGTGAAACCATCCCGAATAGTGACGCGGCGCAATAATTTATGGCACTCTGTTCAGTGGTTTTAAAAAGTTGACGGAACTTTAGTGTTAATCTCTCCCATGACATCAGAATCGGGAGAACTGACACCGTGGCCGGTCGTGAGTTAGACAATTAGGTTAGAGTCAATGGCGCCAAATGCATCCCATGTGGATGCTCATGAATAAAAGTCACAGGCTGCACGTGAAGATGACGGTTAAAACTGAAGCCTAAGCAGCTAAGGTTTGGGATGACATCAATTGACGAGGCAGGCTTCAAGAAGATTTAAAATGTTGCCAAACGGCGCCTTTTTACGGGTCAAAAGATGTGGGGTTATTACAGCTGTCGATGCAAACTTTCCCATGCAGTGTTTCAAACGGCTGCAAGATTTAACAGGCAGTGGTGGAAAGATAACTCTCTACAAATAAAATAAACCCAAAGATCCGAAACAGCTTGACTGAATCTGCTGTATATGGCCCACATAAACATTAGGCCTATCTTTTGGCAACAAATTGTTCTATATCACAATATATCTCTAAACAATACCATTAAAAAGTCCATAACTAGACTGAAGTTGCAATATCTGCATTAGAATTAACTTCACTGTTTGATTTTGGACAGAATTTGAAAGGCGCCAAAACCGAAGTCATACTTACAAATTGACACAAAGAAAGATGATTCCTTTTCTTCACCAAGAAGAAGATTCTGACTCTGGTCTGGTTTTTCAAGGAAAATGCCATGGGTGCATGGTCCACGATGTTTGAATATGGAAATTAGTGCTTTTCGTTGCTGAGAAACAGTTGAGCGGGAAAGACTCCGGATATGACTAATTTGTAATCGTCTCCACCGTTCGACTGCGTGTTTATCCAAAACGTAATTAATTACTCCTTAAACAGAATATGGTTAACGAGCATGAACAAAAATCCGCTAAAAGGAGAAATGAATGGAACGCATATAGCTAGACTTCTCAAATGGCTTTAATTATTATACAAAACACCAGAACCCACTGATCGTTCAAAGTAAAAACAGGAGAGGTAGTGAACCCCAACACAGGAAACAATACAAGCCCCAGTGCATACGTGAGTATAATATAACTTCTCTGCCGCAGTGACACCCCGGAAAGTGACATGTATAATGGAGACAATTAAGGCCCAGTTTGAATTTGTGCGATTTTTAAAAAGCACTCAGTAGACATAGGCCTACCTTTGAACCGCTGAGAACCAAAGCCAAAAGAGAGTAAATTCGAAAGCAGTAATAGCAATAACATTTTAAAGACATGTAAGACTGAAAGTTTAAAACTGAAGCTGAGTTGGTAATGCGTTCATTTTCAAAAAACGAAGTTTCAAATGAGCCTGCGCGTAGCCGAATTAAACGCTGACGCGCTTCATAAAAGTCGCCACTTTCCTGTTATCACCATTCATCCAGCTAACCTTAATTGAATCGCTATTGATTCTCGCTGTGCATAATTTATTGTGGTCGGGATCAATTACGTAAATTTTCGTGCAAGAACAACAACTCCTCGGCAAAATTCAATCAACGTGTATGAGCTCAGGCGGGGTAAGTGCAAGTTCATTTAACAAGCTTTGAAGCAACACTTGTACAAGCCCTGGGATTTAATTTTAAGTATTGTTTTTTCCTTATATCTAGTATAGCTTGTCATGGTTTGTGGGAGAGCTCAAGTTAAAAAGCGAAAGTTTCCACGTTATTACTTCTTTTAACGATTTTTGTCGCCTTACCTCAAAGCATGAAGGACTCTAAAGCAATGTCGTGCGTATTAACTTGTGTGTCAATTCCACACTGACGGGGAATTCGTCACAGAGAATGTAATTAGATCTCTGGATCTAAAGGTATACCGTTACTGAAACGGAGCAGTTGGGCGTGGGAGTACGAGGAAGGAAGAGTTAGACAAGAGAGCACGGGGAGTAGTCAACATCGCCGTTAGTTTTTTTTTCCCCCTCGTTCTGTGGTCCGCGCTGGGACGGCAGGAACCCACGGGCCACCTGCCGCTGAAACGGCAGTGCACACTCGCCACTTCCGCCCTCCCCAGGCAGGCTGCGAAAGGTCGGATACAGCAACCCGTATCGCGCTTCCGGTTGTGCCGGATTTCTGGCCGTGTTTGGAATGTTTGGCGAAGACAGTGGAAGGAGTGAGAAGTCGTTTATCATGAAAAGTTGTGGGGAGCGCAAATATTTGTCAAAGCTGCGGAAAGGGGGGGGTGTTATGACGAGTTCAAACGGTTCAGTGGGTAAACTGCGTCTTTAAACTAGTCCTCTTCTTGACGAGGTGAATGGACTTTAATAAATGTGGGGTTTATCAAGTGATTTGTGTTATGTCACCGAAACATGGCTCCATGACAGCAGTTCAGTTTCCCTCTTAAATGATACCATCCCAAATCTACCATGATACCAAAATTATGTGATGATCTTTTTGTCTAAGGTGTACATTTTTTGCAACGTTCTACTGCTCTTGAATGTTTGAAAACTGTACAACGAAACATCAATAAAAGAAAATTCACATCAATATATCCAAAATTCTCGCCATTGTTTCTGTAGAAAAAGCTATAACATTAAGGTTTCTGCCCAGAATGACATCATAGTTTACTCATGAATATGGCAATTGGCATCCGCATAAAAATACAAATGACATTTTTGAAAACCCTTGAGATGGCAATTAAAATCGAAAAATGGGGTTACATAGGACACACAAGTGCAGTGTCAATGGTTGCATATTGCACAGCCCTTTTAAACCTTGAACCAGAGAAATGTCGCCAGTATTATACTTCCTCGAATGGCATATAAGGCTTTCATTCGAAAACAAAGTCAATGAAATCAAACGATGTTTTGATGAAGTGGAATGTAGGCCTATGTTTAAACGATTGCAAAAACTTGCCCTTTAATTTAGGAAGCAAACAAGCATAACGCTGGGCATCACTCTGCATTTTGGATCGTGATGTAGGACTTACATAGAGATAGCTTTGTAATGAATTAGACGGGTCATTTCATTTCACTTTTCATTTGATTTCAAGCCAAAAGAGACAAGTAAAATTCGCAAGTTTTGTTTGATCTCTCTTGCATTATGTGTCTTTTCTAGTTTCAGACTCGTGATCAGACAAGCTCCAGCGCCCTCCATTAATAATCCATTAGTTTCTAGCCATTTGATCGAAGGGGGGAATGTGCACGGTGTATTGTTTCACTCACAGCAGATTCACTTAAGGAAATGGATGAGCTTAATAAGTCATCACTAACACGACGATGGGAAAATGTTGCGCGATCCCTTGAGAGAGATGGCAGACAATCGAGGCGCGATGTAATGCGTTTGTTGAGCTCAGCCCCGTCCGTCTGTTGTCGCAAATGATCAGTGTGCCGCCATGGATGTGCAAACAATCACTTGCCGGAACTCGAAAAGGGTCAATCTTTCATGTTAGCCTATACCCGCAATAATCATAGTGGGGGACAATTTCAATATTAACATGCCTTTAACCTACACATATACACCAAAAGATACACGCCCGCTTTTAACCACCTGACTACAGAGCAATGCTTAAGCTTGGCATCATTTTAACTGGCTTATAAGCATGCACGATGACACTCATGGGTCTCAATTGCTGGCCGTGTGGCTTTACTTCAATGAATTGGCCTCTTTTTCAGGCTTATGGGGGTGTTTTTTTACCCTCATTCCGCGAGGTTAAACAAACTAGCCTACTTAACAATTTTCCGAAGCCTACCGGTAAAGTTGCTGCCAGACCTTTCAAAGGTGTGTACCAGCAACGAAATCAACGCTCATCCAGGTACGCTAAAATTGACATTGCAAATTAAACATCTGTAGTGAAAGAAACGTCTGATCATTCCTGACTGACCAGTTTGGCTGCTGGTTTTTACTGTGATGATAGGCAATGGACTACTTATAGAGTCAACACTATAAAATATAACAGCAGTGGAATAATACAGGTACACGTAGGTAAGGCGTGCCACCATGATGTCAAATTTTAATTTACAGACCTGGGAGTCATTGGTGTTGAGCCATGTTAATCAGAAATTTACGATTAACGTGGAATTCAAGGTAGCTGTGCTGATTACAAGTCAAACTTACCAAGCCTGCTCGATATGATAATAATTTTCTGGTCGCAAAAAACCTATGAAAACTACTTGAATATCCCGGTATATCAGCGAACAGACCCCTCGTCCACGAAACCATGTATAAAAATCATACAGTAAGAAAGGAGTGCGGAGTGGCCCTGTTATTGCTGATGACAAATATCACCCCCTATTTTTATAAAACTCTTATGCACGGCAGCAATCTTTTTTGGAATTTGATCCTGACACCCCCTTATTAGCTAAAGGATATAACATCAACCAATTATTCCCTGAACTTTGCTTGCACATACCGGTTTTTCCTTATTAGTTTCTTAGCCATAGAAACACGTCTTTTAAGAAAACAGTCCGCAAAAAAAAAACGA